TAGATGAATTTTTTCCAAATTAATAATTGTTTAATTATGTAATAATAATTAAATAAATGTGATATAAATATAAAATACCTAATTAATCTAACATGAAAAAATTTTTTTACGAAATTTTTTATAAATGCACCCAGTTGCTAATTTTCCGAAGGGTGTATTTATAGAGGGTTGACTGTATATGCTTTAACTCTGGCCTTCATTGAGGAATTAACTAGAAAGCTAGGGCACTACATGTCCAGCTTGGTGTGTATCATAAAATTTGAATTATGACACCTTAGTCTGTGTCATGTTCCACAAATTGCAACATGATTTTAGTCCAATTTAAGTGGTATATTTATAGTCTATACAGACTATAATTATACCACTCAACTGTTCCAATTGGCATTAAAAGAAATTCTGTACCAGAAGTTCTAGATGGTTGAAAATGACCTAAAGATACTTATTATCTGTTAAATATGGATAATATGGATGCAATTCAAAACACAAATCATATTGTAAAGATCCTGATGTATTTGATCCAGATAGATTCATGGATAAAGATAATTCAGATAGTCAAATTCCTCTTTATATGTTTGGTGGAACTTTAAGAAAGTGTAAGTAAATTTCTTTTTAATTATAAAAAAATGCATAATTACATGATAATTTACCATCGTTTTATCTAACTGCAGGTCCGGGAAGAAACTTGGCGATGATGGAATTAAAAGTTACCTTAGCAATGTTATACTGAAAATACAATATTGAATTGATGAGACAATTAAAAGATCGTATAAGGTTGCTTAGGGTTTTTGAGTTAAAAGTTAAATTGAGAAAAAGGAAAAACTTCTGATAAACTGTAATTTTGTTATTACTACTTAATTTTTATTATTTAAATGCTTCAGTACAGTGAATCATAGTTTATTGAAATGTTTTTTCTTGTAATAAAAAATGGCCATGTAAAGGTTTACTTTATAACTTTTATTAAATCTGAAGACTCCCAATGAAATATGAATACAAACTTCAAGAGTTATTATATAAAATCATTAATCGATTATGTTAACAGTAGCACACAAACAAGAATGGGCACAGAAACACCTTAATGAGTACGTCCAGCTAGCTGCATGCCAAAAGACAAATTCAAAATTTTTTGCTTGGAGCAAATTGGCAAAACTAGCCTTTTTTTTTGTTTTAGGGATCATGGATGGTCCATCTTATGTCGATATTGATTCCAAACATATAAGTCGTATATTCAAAGAATTTCTTAAAGAAAACTTCCCTGAAGTAATTGATTGCATCCAATAGTCCCAACCTTAATCATATTGAGTATTGTTAAAGGGAATGTGGAGAAGCGGCAACCAAAAAATTTGACAGAATTAGAGTAATCTATGATGGAAGAATGGAATAGGGAACTAAATTATTTGATAAAATTAATTGTATATACATATTACTTATTAATATTATTGATTTGATTGTGAGTGGACAGTAGTGGTGGGATAGGTACATTTGGTAAACGGATGATTTTTTCTGGACAATAATGTAGAATAAACTTTTGGCATAAAAAAATGATGCAGGTTTGTTATTCAGATACACGATCGACTATTCTATTTTTATATATAGTACATTATTAAAAATAAATTCTTTGGTATGATTGACAATTATATCATTATTCGTATTTAATGCGATTTGTCAATTTATTTTAAAAAATAATCCATTTTATTAATTGATAAATATAATTTATAATTAAATTTAATTTTCTCATATTCACATGAGTAAGGTTTATAAATAAAATAGATGAATTTGTTAAATAATAAAGCTCAAGATAATGAAAATTCCAAAGATCCAATGATTTTCCGGCAAATTTTTTTGGCAGTGTGAAGATCATTCTTAAATAAAAAAACCAACGATCTGATGACTTTGTAGATCCATCTTTGGAACTTGTAAATTGGTTATAAAAAAGGAATTTTTTGAGTCACCTGCCAAATTTTAAATAAGTTCGCGGAGAAATTTACTCGAAATCCGTTCAGTAATACAGTAATACTAGGAAATATTGGTTAGAATATCAAAATCCGCTGTACTACACTACACATTTACACATGTAACAATGTATAAAGAGAATATGCAAATGCATAAGTTAAGGGGAAGTTTTTTTTTCGTGGGAAAGTGAGATTGAAATTCGTAGGCAAATGCATTGTACAGCGACAATTATCCACTTCGGAAATAATCTTCAAGATACATTTTTATTTATATTATTATTTGTAATTTTCAAATCAAAACAAAATTCAGAATACAGAAAAATAAAAAAAGTTACTTGCAGTTTGAATTCACTTTTCTTATTAAAATACCATACAATATAATATCGAATTCACCAGGGGTTACCCAATATTCTGCTTTTTTCAAATGATGAGATATAGGAACTTTTACTAAAGTCTCAGAATCAACTAAATTTTGAAATAATATTTGAAATTTGATACCATCATGAGTGAATGTCTTTGCGTATAAAGAAGCAAGGTTAATGTTAGGCGTTGTATAAATTCCATGACTAAAATTATTAAATTGATGTGCCTTTTGATATTCTTTTTGATATTCTTTTTGATATTTCTCACTTTCTAAATATCCATCATCTGCAATTGAATGATTATGATGATTTTTTGCTACTCCATGAAATGAAATTTTCCATTTTCTCTTTCTCTTGTTTTTGAGAATTTCCACTATTACACGTCCCTTATCATCATTTACTGACGAATCTTCATTTGTAACATAAAAGTTGCGAATTGGTGTATTGAATCTAATTTCTTTCCATTCGCATACTTTTAAAAATTTAAAATCTAAATGATGTTGACTATGATGATTACGATGATGACGATGACGATTCTGTTGTTGTTTTTCATTATAATTAATATCCAAATCAGGATTTATGTATTTTATAGTATCGTAATCATTCTTTAGATGAATTTCTAAATGTATAATACTGCCCATAGTAATATTGTAAAATCCAAGATTATTGATATTAAAAAGTTCTTGTCCATTAAATACTAGTCGTTGAAGTTGAGGTCTAACACCTTGAAAATTTTGAATTTTCTTTTTTAATTCATAAATTGTGGTATCATCATTTAAATTTATAATTTGAAATTCTATTTGATTAATTAATTTTTGAATTATAACTTGGAAAAATGAAAATTTTTTCTCAGTATTAGTGTTATTCTCGTAATTCTCATAAGTGATTGTTGCTATCGGTCCACCAACTAAATATGTCTTATAAAATGAATTAAAATCAAGTTGTTCATATATTCGAGGATCTTTTTGATCGCGTTCTAAATAATCGTAATAAGTTACCACAGTCGATTTTGTCATTTTAGAGACAGCCGACGCGATTAATGAAACTGTATCATTAGAAAACTTGTCATTTTTTGGTGGTTCTTTTTTTGGACTTGGAAAAGAAGGAATTTTGATTATATCTTTAAATTCTTTATATTGTGACCATTGTTCTATTTCCTCAAATATCAAAAGTCCCAAGAACGATGTACATAGTACAAGACACATTAATAATAATACTTTATTTTCTTGCATATTTATTATTATTGTTATTTTTAATTTATTTATTTTCAAAAAAAAAAAAATATAATAATAATAAATAGTTTAATATCAGAATAAAGCTATATTTTATATTTAAAATTATGAATTAATATAACTAAAAGAAAGAGGAGAATGAATTATTAATTTTCCAAATTCAGTATACAACTATTAAAAATTATGATAAACTTTATCAATATTGTATCAATATTACATAATGAAGTACAAAACTGTAAAAAAAATACAATTAAATTAATATACAGTATTTAATTAATTTAATATTTCAATTTAAACTATATTTTCCGAATTAATCAGGATTAGCTGTCTAACTGCAGACCAGTGAGAATGACAGTAAAAAATGTTACGACTCGAACGACTCACACATATATACAGTAGTATGTAAGTCATGTGTTAGTCGTGTGTTATCCGTATGAGGGTTTTCTTTCATAATGGGTTTTATTCGTTTAAGGTTCTTTTGCATTAAGACTTTTAAAGTGAATGTGTTGAATATTTTCAAAATTGTGTTCATTATAATTGGATACGTATAATCGAAATAATCTGAAATATAACATATACATTTTTTATCACTTTTATCGGGTATAGACTGGGTATAGACTGCTAAAATGACTAGCTACAATAGGAAACAGGATAACAGACTAGAGTACGGGACATTTTTAAAAAAATATATATAATATAAATATACAGCAGCCACGTCAAAAATTTTTCGTGTCAAATTTTCAGCCTTCCAGATTTAAATTCGATTAAATTGAATTGATGACAATAATATCTTTATTTTACAATTTTATAAAGCGTAAAATACAAAATGAAGTAAAAGTAATAAAAAAATAATAACGAATGAAAATAAAAATCCTAAATAAAAAAAAAATAATATATATATATACTAATAATAAAATATAATAATATTAATAAAATAAAATAATAATAATAGGTGAAAAAATTTCGTAAAATTAAATTATGTAATTATAATTGTTAGTTACTAATTAGTATTATTTATTACTTCATTATCGGTTGTCATTTTTTCTCCTTTTTCTTCTTTTTCTCCTTTTGAATTTGATTCAGCTTTTCTAATTTGTCTCACGATATCCAACTCATCCGGGAACCACCATTGTTTAACAAAAGTAACTAGATATCTTGGTAAACCGCATAAAAATATGGAAAACATCATTCCAAACCAAAAAGCTCCTCGACTAAATAATTGTTCACCAACTTTATATATTGGACCTTCAGGAAATAATCCATAAATCATAACATATAAAAATATAAGACTTAATTCTCCAAATAATACTGCCCAAATAAACCAAGTCCAATGATAGGTATTATATGATACAATTAAATTTGCAACTACAATTACAGTAATTGCAACCGCTGCAGAAAATTCTGTGGATATGGAATCTAAACCCGCCGAACTTACAATATTGGTAGAATAATAAAAAATGAAAAAAAATGTAAAATAAACGACTAAAGATTGCCATATTCCATCCATAAAATAAATTATAAACAATTTTCTCGAATAACGTTTTTGTTTTATTCCTAAACTATAAATGATGGGATATCTCAAACAATATGATGCACTAACGGGTTGATCGGTAGTTCCTAAAGAATAATAAAAAATTAAAAGAATAATTAAAATAAAAATAATTATAATAAAATTGTATTAATATTCCGATTATATTATTGTAATTCTCCGAATATTCCCCCAAACGCAAAAAGAAAATATTAAAATAATAAATTTTACCTAAAGCAATAACTGATCCAACCGTAAAAATCATATTATATAATTGTACAAAACTATATTCGTAAAATATATTGGCCGAAAACCTAAAAAGAAAAGAAAAATTATTATCAATTATTATTCATTCTCAAATTATCGTTCAAGATAATATATATATATTTTTATTTTATTTTTTTTTTTTTAAAAAAAAAAAAAAAAAAAAAAAACTTACAAACAATATATTTGATACCATAATACAGGAAATACCCATATTACGTTTTTATAAAAGAAATTTAAGATCATTTCAGCTATACGCATATAATCCCAAAAACCATGAACAAGTAAAAGTCTGGTTAAAAATTTAAATTGTGATATGGAATAATCTGCAGCCATCGATGCTTGGACCCCTAATATTTTTATAAATAATATCAATTATTATTAATTTTATAAAAAGAAAAAGATTATCTAAGCCAGCATTCAAAATAATTCAAATAACTTCTTTCTTACCTTCTTGTCCGGATATTCCAACCCCAACATTTGCCGCTTGAATCATGCTCACATCGTTAGCTCCATCTCCAATAGCAAGTGTGGTAGATCTCTTTCCTCTACGTATTAATTCTACTACTAATGCTTTTTGTAAAGGACTCACTCGACAACAAATTACTGAATGAAAAAATTCCGATACATCAATAATTTTTTGACGAGCGGGTCCATCTTCTAACAAAAATGAAAGTGATATACCATCAACAACGAATGCATGTTGTTCTCCTGGTTTTATAGGTTCCTCCCCTTTTTCTAATTTTGTATCTCCTTTTCCTGTTAAAAGTGCAACAATATGATCCAACTGATTCCTTACTTCTTCACCCTTTGTCCCCCTTACAATCCAAAGTCTCATCTCTTTCGTTAATAACTGTGCAGCAAATCCAATATTTATAGCTGTTTCTAATTTGTCTCCCGTCAAAACCCAAACTTTACATCCGGCTTCTCTTAGTGATGCGATACTTTTGGGAACTCCTTCTTGAAGTTTATCTTCAATTGCCGTAGCTCCTAAAAGTATAAGTTCATTTTCAATTTCTTCTGAAACTGCATCAATCATTTTCGATCGATCTACTATTGCTGTTGATGCCTTATCATATTTTGCTGCCCATAATTTATATTCAGTTTCATCTAATTTACGATATGCCAATGTTAAAGTCCTAAGACCTATTATAAAATAAATTTTCATAAAAATGAAATTAACATGGAAAAATTAATATAGAAAAATTTTATATGAAATTATTATATACGAATTTTTTTATTTACCATTATTAGAAAATTCATCAATATTTTGTGATGTCGCTTTAACAAATTGATCTTGACCACTAGCCAATCGTTCAATAATAACATTATCAGCCCCTTTACAAAATAATACTATACCTCCACCTAATTCTGTAGGACGACGAGCTATTACACTCATCCTTTTACGAGTAGAATTAAATTCTAAAATATTTAATAGTTCAAAAACATATTCCTTGCCGAGAACATCAACATTTATAGAATTATTACTTCGTCCAAGAAATACAAATCCTACATTCTTAGCAGCTGATACTAAAGCTGCTTCATCAGGTGATTCAGCTTTATATACAAGATTACGGCTAACTGTTTTATCAATTCTCTTGGGATCTTTTGCTGTAGCGACAGGAAGTGGTGACTTTGAAGTTGATGAAGAACCTATTCCAATAAATGAAGGAACAATTTCTTTTAAAGAATTTTTAACTTTTTGTACGGCAGAATTTAAAGTATTTTGATTTTCAGAATTAAGTTCAGTTTTTTTCTCTTCATCGACTGAAGCTAAATTAATTTCACTAGTTGGTTCAGATTGTCCTTTTATTACCTCACCAGTAATACCAGCTTCAGATGATGTAGTCTCTGTTACAGGTTCACTTTCATCTACTACAACTGTATGACAAACCGCCAATAATGTATAAAATTCTTTAATGAGTTGTGATTTATTTGGTATTTTAAAATCTTTATCGTTAATTTCATCAATTTCGTCTTCACTTTTTGTATTTTTATTATTATTATCATCATCGTCATCATCATTATTTTTTTTATCCTTTTCACCCCTTAAATCTCGAAATAATTCTGGATCAACGAATGTCAAAAAATTCTTATCCGTACTTGAATATTTTGGGTCAAAGGTTTTTTTCAATTCTTCAAGATATTGTGCCCATATTTGATCTTGACTCGGTTTTTTCTTTTCAATATTATTTCCTGCCAACATTTTTCCTTTCTCTGCATCAGTTACTCCTCCCCAACCATTATTCCCATATACTTTTCCATCTATAGAACATTGACGAAATTCCATGATATTACGAGTCAAAGTACCAGTTTTATCGGAAAATACGTATTCAATTTGTCCTAAATCATCAGAAAGATTCCACTGTTATGAATTAAATAATAATAATAATAATAATAATTATAATAATAATTATGATGTTCATAAATACCAAATCAAAAAAAAAAATAAAAAAAAATAAATAAAAAAAATAAAAAAAAAAATATGATAAAAGTTATTAAATAATTCTTACCGACTTTGGAACACAAGGTGAATTTGTTTCTTCATCCCACATTTCAAGATCATTAAAAATAAAGAATGCCTAAAATATATATATATATATATAATATAATAATAATAATAATAATAATAACAATAATTAGAAAATAAACAAAAGTTTTCACGAATGAAATATTTTTAAAGAAATCAATTATAACCTGAAAACCTTTTACAAATTCAATTGAAATATATAATGAAATTGGTAATATATTTTGAAAGATAATTAATCCTGTCCTAAACGTATAATGAATTTTAAAATCTTTCATTAATTTCATTATTTAATAACATTTTAAATCATTAATTTTTGAAAATACATACCAAAAAGTCAAGAAGGAAGCGAGTTCTATGGATTGACGATTGGAATCAATATTTTCAACGATATTGTATCCATATTTATCCGCCAATACATTTAAAGATATTCCACTTCCGATAGCACAAATTGAGGCAAGAATAATAAGTATTATAAAATTGAGAATGACCTGATAAAAAAGAAATTTACGAAGGGAAATTGAAAAAGCAAGTGATGAAAAGAAAATTAAAGAAATTGAAAAAAAAAGAAATTAAAAAAAAAAAAGAAAAAAAAAATTGGAAAAAGCAATTGAAAAAGAAAAGGATGAAATAAAAACAAACTGGAAACTAAAGGTAATAAAAATTTTAGAAAAGAAAATATTACCTCAAAATTCATTTCTTTCTCTATTCGACTTCTCTTACTTGGAGTTTCACCCGAATTAAGCATTATTTTTGTTTCAACTCCAGTATAAACCGTTATGGCAATAACCCATTCTGTATTTCTAATAACATGCGCACGTAATAATAAATTATTTATATCTATAGAAATAGTTTTCTTGGGCTTCAATTCCTTTGATGCTACGGGTATTGTTGGGGTGGTGGGTAAAGTTATGTCAATCTCTTCTGGGATATCAGGTATAACTAAAGTTGCATTATAAGTAAATAGATTTGAATTTGGTGCTTCAGATTCAACCCAAAATTTTAATTTGGCACAATCTTCAGCGGAACGAACATTTTTTGTATCAATAACACATCGACGAGGTTTAAGATTTGTCTCTCCATCTAAATCTTTCGTTTCAACGAAACAAGTTCCTGCTGGTTCGGAAGTTGAAATAATGATTGAATCTGCTGGTACGGCGTCACCATTCCTAAGGAATAAAAAGTCACCTACACGAATATTTCTCCAAATGACTTTTTTAAATTCAGGTTTACCATTTATTTCATTAGATGGTTCAGTTGGAGAATCATCATCATCATCATCAAAATCAATTCCTGGTGTACCATTACTGGTTTTTTGGTTCTTAATATTAATTTTATTATTATTTTTATTATTATTATCGGTTTTTTTCCATAATCCATTGAAAAATGATTTAATTCTAAAACTAAATCTTTTCCATAAAGTAAGTTTAGGCTTAATTGGATAATTGACATTTAAAAAATTTCGTAAATGATAACTTGTTGCCCCATTGAATTGCGCGTCAATTTGATGACGATTTCTATCTTCTACAGCATCTTTACAAGCAGTGAAGAAAACAACGGTAGTAAGAGGGAGCAAATTCAATACTATATTGTTTGAACTAATAGCTGGTATCAATCCAATAATTGCCATGAATAAGAAATACAAATTGGCAACCTTTCGAAATTGTTCAAACAAATTTTTCGGTACAAAAGTCCATAAAGTATATTTTGCAGTAACTATTTTATTTGAAACATATTTGATATTAGGACGACCTTTACCGTCAATCTTATCTTGTGGTAAAGGTAAATTGGCATATACTATTCGTCGTTTACCAGTCGTCGGTCTATTTTTAATTTTAGTTTCTGTTCTTTTATATTTCTTTAATTCTTCATTACTAATTGCTTTCGTTTCATTTGCCTCGAGTGAAAAAGGCAAATCTTGTGAAAGCGTGGAGGACATTATTATTGTAACAGCTAAGTTTAATTAGCAAATTTTTATGAGGACGTAAAACAATTCATAAATAAAAAAATTTGTCATGTTACATTAGGAGGAGTGGAAGTATTAAAATAGTTACAAAATTGGTAAAGATCATTTTTCATAATATAATAATTATTCTTTGATTCATTAACACAATGCATATTATTAATAAAGTTTTTTTTTTTAAAAAAAAATCTAAATATAGAACATTTGTTTACTGTATATTACTGTATTTATCTAATACTTGTATAAAATAATGTATAACTACATGAATTTTTAAATTGGTTACACGACTATGTAAAAAAAGATAATCTATAATGACAGTACTTTTCATAGACAAGCCGATTTAAGTCATAATATAATTGATTTGAATTTAATTATTATATGCTCTCTTTCTTTCGTTATTCTAATTTTACAAGTTATTACTTCCTCATTTAATTATATTTTTAGTTGTAAATTATAGTTTTTACTATAAATTTGAATGTATCGAAACGACCGATTCAATTTTTTTTTTACATTAATAAAAACTATTGCTTTCAAAAATTCATTCAAATCAGATGATTACTTTTACTCATTATTAAGTGTAACCATAAGTTCTAACAGATCGATTCTCGATACTGGTTTTGACCAACATTTAAAAACATGATTTAATACTTTCTCGGCCGTAAAAGTATAAAAAAATTCAACTTAAATTGACTAGTCAATTTCTAATTAAATTAACCGGTTGACTTTCATGTATATGTATAAAAATAAAAATGCAAATTTTTCATCTTAATTGATTTCTAATAATTTTTTTCAAAGAATGTCTTTCATATATTGGCAACCAGATACAGGATTTACCTGAAGAAATAGAACAATTTGTATATGATACAAATGATACTTATTATAATTTTAACAACAAACAAGTAATTTTGATGATTTAACTTATTATAATGTCTATTCTAGAAGTGATACTTTAGTCAAACTATATCTTCTATTAAAAAAGTTGACAAGAAAACATCTTTTGTAATCACTTTTCTTATAAAGTCACATGACTTACAAATTATCCAAGTTGTTTTTTTTTCTATTATGTCATTAATTTCAATATGAATATAGCAAATCATTAATTACGACACACTTACAATTTTATGAGAAATCATTTACACGCCTATGAAGTGTGTGTGACATGTATACATATCTACTTTTTTTAACAATTGTCAGTTGAGATAAATGGAAGATTCTAAAATTTCTTTGTTGAATTTTGGCACAAAGAAAATCAAAGAATTGACTTAATTAATATTTGTGATAAACCTTTTTTATGTAAATAATTAAAATAATTTGATCTTAAAATTGAACCTGGTGACAATGTCTTTTGCCTTTTATTTTTAGAGATATGTTAAAACGCGTAACTTTAAAATATTTAGTTGCATAAGATTGTGGGATTAATAATACTTATAGTATGCAATCAGCCAAGTTCCAAATCATTTCTTCTCTACATACAGCTGACAAAAACTTTTAAAATTACATTATAAACTCTCTCATTAATAAACTTCCTTGGATCGATTTTATCGATAACAAAGTAATAAGTAACTCAAATAAACAATACAATAAATTTCCTTCTGTGGTAACATCTGACCAAGTTTGAATAAGCTTTTGTCATCTTGCGGATTATTTTCAAAAAAACAAGCCACCTTCAAGAATTAACTTCCTTTTTTATCATTGTAAAAAACATTGTATAAATATAACTGCACTGAATTAATGATGCATAAAATTTGTTCGAAAAAGGTAATCACTTCACATCAGAACAAGAATTTTTTAATAATAGATCAGTATTACACATCCATCACTAATTGAGAAAAAATAAAATTTTTATATGCACAAGGAGCAGAGTTAAATCGGCAATGATTCAATTTCGTGAACGTAAACCATATATAGAGGCACTTTCATTTACGGAATCTGTAGATTGCGTTCTACGTGACAACTTGTGTTAGTAATTACAGAATCTATCAAATCCAAAGAAACTGACATTTTAGGGAAAATCAAAAATTGTGGTAAATGTCGAATATTTTTAATACTCAATCATATACTGTATTTTTTTTTTAATCTTTTATTTAGGTAAAATTACAGAAACCAACGAAAAGAGAATATTAAATAAACATAATTGGGTTTTCTTTGCTGCGCAAGAGAAATATCATGTTCTTCAGCCGGGCAATTATTGCTGGAAATTAGAATTAGTCCTTCCCGGAACATTAATAGAAACGATTGAACAATGTAATAGAAGTTACGTTCGTTATAACCTTAAGGCTACCTTAAAAAGACCAACTTTCGCATAAAATCTTCATACTAAACGTAAAATCCAAATCAATATACTGTACATTAATGACTTTGTATAATTTTATAATATATACCTACTTAAAAAAATTACTTTTCCAGAAGACTCTGCGTTCACATAATCTTATCAACATCTAGCTGGCATTTTGATCACATCATTTTTTACGCAAAAATTTTAAAAAAAGTTACGTAAAAAAAAGATTGATTTATTTCGTGATATTATTAATAGAATTACTTCACGATAAGAAAATTATACAATATAGTGGCAATATTCTCGTTGTCATGAATGATTTTGAAGCTGTAATTTTTGATTTAGTCAACGAGTAATTGTTAATTTGGAAAAAAAACCTAGTAATTCCTTATACATTTGTATCCGTAGTTTAGGAATGATTATGTCGGAATTAACAACAGTCATAAGACATTTCATGGACCAATTCTTATCTTAGATATTTTTAGACGGAAAAATCAGATTGTTGGAAATTTTAATGAATGTTGGCATCCTGATCCTTCTCAACGTCCAACAATATGAAATTTATCGATTATTTTTGGATTTTAAATATTATTGTTATCATTCAAAAGATGATATCAAAAAAAAAATTTTTTTCCAGATAAATATGATATTTGGTTAGAATTTAAAAAAAATCGGGAAAAAAGACAAAATTCTTGTTAATAATCCATTATATGGGCATCCAAATTCTAGTATATCTATGTTATAATGATAATTTTTTAAAACTGGGACCATAAAAATTCATTATGTTAATTATTTCTATAGATAAATTTGAAATCAAGAATAACGAGTATACATGTGGTTCCGATCGAATAAATTTTTTGAAATAATTATCAGATATTTAATATAATGATGATAAAAAAATTAAAGGTATTATAAATACATTATCTCTATAGATTAATTACCAAATGATAATTTTGATATTATGAATAGCAAGTAAGAAATCATATAATATTTATTAATTTTAAATAATTTATTAACTATAATACATTTGACACTTTTCAGTCGAAGAAATTCTAAAAACTCAATTTTTTCATTTTTCATATCTTATTATGACGTTTTATTTGGAATGCGATCAATGAAATAGGAAAATCGCTCCTTTTTGGGAAAGGAAATGATCTACGTGCTTTTTTTTTTTGAAAAACCAATTTTCTTTTCACTTTGAGAATCTGGTCCGTTCTGAGATGTACCAAGTCCTTTATAAAATTATTGCAAATTTTCGTTATTTTTGGATTTTTAATTGGTAAATTATTGACGAAATGCATATTTAAAGTAAATTTCAAAAAAAAATAGATAAAATAAAATTATTTGGTATTTGCTCTACAAATAAAATTAAAAAATAATTTTTTCCTGAAATTTTTTGACGTAAATTTATGAGATGTATGATCATTTTTCGTATAAGCTCTCCTTTTAAAAACACAGTTATCTCATTTTATGTATTTTTGGAACAATTTTTTTTTCGCGTTGTAATTTTTTTGGTAAAGGAAATGAATGGATTTTAACAAATAGCTCATTGGCATAAAAATAAATTTTTTATTTTCTGTCATTTTTTCTTCGAGATAATGATTAATTGAGTAGACAAATAAAAATGGAATATATATCAACTTTCGCTGGCTTATAAAAACTTGCGCTATAAATTTAAAAATTTAAATTTAGTATTTATCTTTAAGAAAAGTTAAACAAAGGCACTTGGAGTAAAATAAACATTAAATGAAAATATAATATATTCAATAAATAAAATAAAGAAATAATATGCCCTTTATTTCAATTAAATAAAAAATGTTAAGTGATGAGCTTTTTGAAAAAAATATTTTATTTTATTTTATATATTTTCGCATTTTCCATTTGGATAATAATAAAATAAAAATAAATCATTTATATTTTTCGCATTTAGAATTTTTTAGTAAATGATGATATAGAAAATACAAATTTTAATAAATGTAATTAAAGATTTCGCAAATTAAAAAAATTTCCGTTTCCGAATTGAGAGCACAATGTGATGTGATTTCTTACAATATTTTTTATAAGATTAGAACAATAATTTTCTTCGCTGCCAACTCGGACTTTTTTTAAAAGTTTGTTGAAAATTAATTTTTATTAAAAAAATATCTTATCTATTATTTTCGTGATTCTGTCCATCAATTCCAAGCAATAAATCAAATAAGTAATATAACAAAAGAATTTATCATATAATCCATCCCCAAGAAAGAAATCGGATTAGAATATAATAAAAAACAAAAGAATCTACCTTATTTATCAAAATTCGAACCCAAGATATAAGAAATGTACCACTAACAATATTAATACGTAGTTAAAAATTCAAGCTAATAAAACGACCCTGATCTTGAACTCTTGTCGTAATATATAAAAAAATTTGTGATATTTTATTTAGAAAATAACTACATTTAACCAGTTAAAATAAGCAATAATCTTTTATTTAATAAAAAATCTTAATTACAAACTAACATCTAAGTTATTTGAACTCATATAATAATTTCATACTTTATATGGTCCAGTGCAAAAAGATTTGTACCTCAAAAAAACATCAATAAAAATTTTTTTATTAAGTAAACTTTTTTTAAAAAATTCAAATTATATCATTACATATTCGGAAACATAAAAATATAAATTTTATTTTTAAACTAATTATTATAATCAAAGCTATCATAGTCATCAAATTCTTCATCAATTAATTGTACTTTTTCATCATGCTCAAAATATTCTTTTGCATTATTAAGTGCTTTTTTCCAAAATTCAATTATAATTTGTGAGGTAATTTTTTCTTTAAATGCATCTAACAATTTGTTTCTAATGGATAAAAGATCTGGATGTGGACCTGATCTTGCAACTTCAACTTTAACAACTGCCCAAATACCTTCTATTGGTTGAAGTTTACAATGATAAGGGGGTAAAAAAAATTTGATGATTATACTCTTTTGCTATCTCAACACAAGAAAATGGAATATTCTCTTAGTTTAGCTAAACTAGTTCTAAAAGCTCTGGCCTTCATAATTCACTAGAAAAAACAATATTGTGTGCAGTTAACCAATCAATTATTTTTTTTTTTGTGTTTGATGTTGAAATATGTTCAATTTACCATTTATGATAACTTGCTTCATCCATGTGAATGATTACTGGTCCATATTTTTTATAAAGTATTTTGCAAAGAGTTAAAAAAAGGTTTTCAGAAATTTCCGCATTAAAATTTCTATAATAATCCACTTGATCAAAAGTTATATTGGCACCTTTAACAATATCTGACACATTATTCCATTCTTCGGCATTCTTTCATTTTCATCCTTGAGCTCCTGAAGGTTTAATTGTTGGATCCCAAATATGAACAGAATTTGATACAAGTTCACCATGCAATTTGTTATGTGATCCATTTCAAAAACAATAATTACATCAAAAATAATAACCAATGGACCATTAGGTAATAATACAACACCTTGATGAGAAACCCATATGTTATATGAAGTATGATGCAAGTGGCAATAAGATTTATTAAGAAAGAATTCTGGATAATGTGGAACATTACTTTTTTCCTTCCAAATTATCAAAGCAAAAATGAAAATAATGGCAATGTAATGCAACATTATTTGATGACTTATGAAGAATATTTCTTTGTTCCCCTGATGCAATATTTAAAAACTCTATATGAAATATGCATATTTAAAAAATACTTAAAATATAATTAAAATATTATTGAAATATTATTAAAATATATTTAAAATATATTTAAAATATACTTAATTATATTTGTGATAAGTTACTTAAAATATTATTATTTTATAATTAACGGCATTGTTAAATCACACCAGTGGTGTTTAACACCAGTTGATTTTTAGCCAATAAAAATAAAGCACATGATTTTTAAACAATGTAATTCATTATAATAAAATATGCGTGCACATGACAATAAAATGTATAATTTTTTATTAATAAAACATGCGTTACATGATATCATATACTATAATTACGCCATACTATAACTATACTATAATCACATAATATACATCATAAATGTTGATATATTGTATCTTTGCTTATTATTAATCTTCATTCTTGTTAGTTTCCTCTACCTTCGCTTCCTTACAAAACTTCAATTCATTTTTCCCTAACTTAATTTTTAAATTATTCTGTACTTTACGAATATTTTTTTTTTCGCTCTTGCATACTAGTTCTTTACTGGGCATGTTCGCGCATTATGCCTTTTCTCACTACATAAACCACAAGTTCTCTTACTAGTTTCTCCATTTATCAGTTCATTGTCATTTGATCTGATATCTTGTAATGGTTTTCAGTACTTTTTATGTGATGGTTCCTCGTGACTTTCATTGTCAGCATTCTCTCCATTGCTTTGATTAAGTTCAGATGCCTCTCATTTTTTGCTCTTGCGATTTGTTTTCACGTGCTCAGAACCTTTGAGATTTTTAATCCCGATAGGATTGCTGATAGTAGAAGCAAATTCAGTAAAACTATCACCATTCTTTACTTGATTAATAATTTCAACCTCTATCTCCTTAGCCAATTTCAAATATATTTCATATAATTTCTCCATTTTGCCTGTCATAATAGCCAGGTTTAGCGTTTTCTTCATAATCCCAAATCCTTTTCCATATTGTTGTTTTTGGGACAACTCTTCACAAACCTCGTTGGTAAAGTTAAGATTTGTATACTATTGATGGCCCTCGTTACAAAGTGAAGAGTTTATATTAATATATTTTTCTGATAAACATTTTTCACCTTTTTAAGAGCAATTTCCTTAACAATAACAATATTAAGTTTAAAACATCCTGCACATCGAGGACATCATGAATTTTGATTTTTAATTGTAATGGAGTATGATTATTAATATACTCATCCGATAAACATTTGTCATTCCTAGATTGAGCTATATTTTTAGTTAAATCTAAATCAACTCTTCAAGTATCTATTACACATTTAGGACACCAAGAATTATGATTTCTTATTCTTTTTAAAGGAGCTTACCATTTATTTTTTTGCACATTGCCAGAAAAGTGGCATATAAATACTTATATATTTTACAGAAAGACAAATATCACCTTTTTTAAGTGTGATTTCTTTAGCAATATCAATATTAAGCTTAGAACATCTTGCACATTGTGGACACCAAGTACTTTGCTTTATATCACATAAACTAGTATTTCATTCATGAAATTTAGCCCATTTTCAATGTAAAAGACTTTTATTATTGATATAACATTCAGAAAGACATTGTCTATCTTTTTCTAAAGTAATATTTTGAGCATTAATTAATGTCAATTTGCATCCTATTTTTAGAGAAAACTTTGTATCATCAATCTTAATGTTTAAAATCTAATTATTAAGTATCTATTGAGAGGGTAATTGCACATTCTTTACAGTTTGAAGTTTTTCTTTTACAAATGAACATTTTGAACCATTATAAAGTTTATAAAGAACAGGTGATTTTCTTTTATTAAATATAAATCAATTGTAAATGTTTTAGGGGACCAGTTACAGTCAGTTACCCTTTTTTTTCAGCCATCTAATTTTCTTGGTTCTAAAAAATATCAAACTTCTGTATAATTAGGAATAAGAGGCTCATCATATCCTATAGGTCTTCAATATTTTACAGCCAGTTTTGAAATTATTTTTTTACCTTTTAATGCATGTTTTACTGCCTCATTAGGAGTTATACCTATTAATAAAATAATAGAATTATTAAATGTATCATCATTGATACGAAGACCTTTAATCTAAGATTGACATCTCTCAGTTATAGGTAAATGAAAATCTATTGCATCTTGACTATACTTGCATGTAAAATTATTTTGGAACCCTGAAATTACAATTTTGGGAAAAAAGTCAAAATAGTTTTTCATAGAAAACAAAATTATTTTACTTAAAATCCAAAATTTTTTGACTACCCAGATTTATTCTTTGATTAAAGATATATATAACTGGGTACTTTTTTTACTTCTGTATATAGAATCAATTCTGCATAAATCTCAAAAAGTTGAAATATCTCAAAAATTCAAAATCAATTTTGGAAACATGTATAATCTTGACAGAAAAAAGTATGATTTTCAAATTCTTGATGGTCTTACTTAGCAAAAGCTACATCATGTTTAAAGTTGGCATACTGAATTTTTATACTATAACTAAGTAAAAAATTCTTACACTCACCCATATATTCAGTGCTCCAATTAATAATAAAAGTTTTTAAATAATTAAGAGGACAATTTAGGTCATTATAAATTTTCTGAATCATCTTAACTATTTTAGCAGATATTTTATTGGTCAAATTGAAACCTAGTAGTTACATCTTTAATTACGTCCCTATACTTATAAATTTGTTTATCTACTTTATCATGAGGCATAGGTGTAGTATCAGATTAATATACCTTGTTTAAATCTTGTATATTATTAAAAGAGGCAAACTTTGAATGTGGTTTATGAATTTGATATAAAGCTTGGTTTTCAAGCCATTCCTGAACTTCATTGAAAGTGAAATCAAAACCAGAACTATGTGAAACCTCATAAAGTTTTTTACTAGTCCCTTGATAACCAGAAGGATGATAACAGATTTTTTGTAAATCAATATTGATATCAAGTTCATGAGTTTTTTGTAAATCAATATAAATTACAGATTCACCCATTACTTTAATCTAATATAAATAATAAAATTTTTTCATGAATCTAGCTTATGTTGAGATATTAGAAACCAATAAAGCTTTGAAGGATGAGCTTAACTCTGAGGTAAATAGTAATATACTTAATGAGAAAAAAATTCAGAAATATCTTTATGAATTAGAGTAATGTAATAAAACTATATCATTCCAGGATAGTACTATTATAACACAGGAATCAGAAATTCAAGAATTAAAATCTCAGGTCTCAAATCTAAAAAAATATTTTAGAAGACATCAAAAAAAAAGAGTCATATATTTTATGTTTAGAGCAAGAATTAATTAATCTTGAAGATGAGATAAATTGGTTAAAAATCAGGATACATGAAATATGTTCATATTAGAGGTTAATACATACATGACTCAAAGGTTACCTCAACTATCTACAATAGAAATTAGACAAAATTATAATGATATTCAAAGACATCTTGATGATGTTAGACTATGTTTTCAAAATCAAATTCAAGTACCTTTTAGTTGAGATATTATTTTAAGAAAACTTGAATTATTTTCAACATCCACAAATAGACTTCAAGAAATAGCACAAAATAATCAACCAGTCAATCAAAGAATTACTTAACTCCAAAATCAATATGATATTTCTCAAGGAATTTTAAATTTAATATAAACCACTTTTACAAATGAACAGCAAGAGTACTATCAAATATATTGTAAATATACAAATGAAAGAATAAAGAAAAAAATTTATAGTAAACAATTATCAATTTACATTAACAAATTTTTGTATTACAAAATAACCCATTAGCAAATTCACTTAGTATGGCTGCCACTTCTAGACAACATATATATTAAACTATTCAAACAAGTCTTGCACATATTCCTAATTACATAAGACAAGAACTACCAAATGACTATTGTAATAAGATTCAACAAGCAATTTCTTTTGCTGATACAATGATAGCTGATGCCAATTATACAAATGTTAATACTTTTACTGATGCACATAAGACAGATATTTATAAATTGAAAATGGCAGAAAAATATGTTTCAGTTCTGCTTCAACATGCAGGAAATAATATTAATACTCCAGCTCGATTCAGAGCTTGATTTAGGCATAAATATCAAGGCAAGTATTTTTAACAAAATTAACTCAAGAAAAATTCTTACTTACAGATATTCCAGAAACTTATGAAGAAAAAAATCAACTTTTATTATTGCAAATACCAAATAATAATACTGATGCATTGGCAATCTTATGGAATCACTTATCAGATGAGCTTTTTTCAAGAATAGAAATTACAGCTCTAGCAGATATAGATGTGTTCTTTACCAATCTAAAAAATATCTAACTTAAGTATTAACCTTCTACTTTTACATATAATGGAAATAGAAATTTACCCATTATTACAACTAATTCATCTCCTATTCTATATTAACTGCAACCTCAAGAAAACAAAAATAGGATAATGGAACATTTAGAAAGTATTGCCATAAGATTGGAATATTCTGATAGTGCATCTCGAAATTCAAATAATTTAGAAGATTTTATTGAAGATGAATTATATAAAAGATTAGGACATGCAAATTATCATGTTAAGAAAGAACCTTTTGGACAAAATAATAATACTAGAGGTATTAAAAAAGTATATACTACAAAGAAACCACAGAAAGTTACTTACAAATGCTCAAATTGCAGAAAAATTGAACATAGAAAAAATAAGTGTTCTAAACTTAGTAAGAAATCTAAGAAAATTAATTATACTATTCAATCTGAAATGGAAGATTATAATTAAGAAGATGAACCTATTGTAGTATTAGAAGACAAGAATAAGGAAAATAACGAGAAAAGTGAAGTTGAGAAAACTATCTCTGATAATAAACCACAAAATTGTTTTAATGTAAAAAAAAAAAGTCAGATTCCTATAAAGAAGAAGTCTACTAAGAAGAAATCTATTGATACTTTGGAGCAAGAAGTATTTCTTGAATTTCTTAAATATATGATATCCAAATTAATATCTCATTGTCCTAAGGAAACTCATTGAAATTTGTACATTTCTTAATAACCTGTTTATAAAAATGAAAGATCAGTTTGATTTATATTATGATAAAAAGTACACAATCAAAGAAAGAAATAAGGTATGGGTGATTATTGCAAAAAAATATCAAATTATCTTCCAATCATTTATTGAGATTATTAGCATAAGCAACCTTTTGGCTAATAGACAGAATTCAGACTCTTTAGATCATAAAGAAATGAATTATAATTATAGCTTTGTATTCTCTCCAGAAAAACTTGACCATACCAGCTCCACTGACAAAGATACTGAGTTTTGCTCTTTAAATCATGTCATTAAAGTATATCAAGAGGTACAAATAAGACAAAATTGGCCTAACCCTTTGAGATTGATTTTCTCAATATAAAAGAGCCTAATGATATAGCAATGATTTCTTGTAAAATAGGTGACTTGATAATACCTCATGCAATTCTAGATACTGATGCAGATGATCCATTGCTTACAGATGACATTCCTGAATATTTAAGGATAAAAATAGTAAGAAAAATGTTCACAAACTTACAGGTGCAGTTCATTGGTACTTCACTTAACATTCCTATATCTAAAGATAGTAAAAAAGATTCTATAACAGTTTCTGAAAAAGAAATATCTGTAATCCCTACAAAAAAAGATTGAAATGGAAATAATATATCTATAATGATACTTGGCATTAAATGGTAACATCATGTTGGATGGGATTCTATAGTAAAAGGAGAATTTATAACAATACACAATGGAAAGACTATTACAATTCCACTTTCTACTCACAAAAAATCACGTAATGCATTTAATACAGAAAAATTACAGGTACCAGAAGGTTTTAAACTACCAGATTCTGTTACTACTGAAGAGGTAAAAAAAAAAGTATAAATTCTGACAAACAAGTTGACTTCTTTCTCAGACTAGAATTCCATCTCAAGATTCAGATTATATCAGGTATAAAGGATGTAGAAAATAAAGCAACTATTAAAAAAGAATTTATTAGAGTTCTTAATTATGCAGAATATCTTGAAAAGAAATTGATATGATTTCAAGATTCATCTTGAAGCTGTTTTTTATATTCACGCAAATTTGCTATTCTAGTTTGTACAGCACTCTCTGGTATTGATGAGGTAGAATGGTTTATAGTTTTTGATTCTGATTGATCTCCACCTTTAGATAATTCTATATTGAAGTTTGTCTTATCAATATTAGAACTGGGAGGTTCATTATTCTGTAAAATCTTCTTTTTTCTGATAGTCTTTTTTGTTACTGGTTTGATTGAGAAATTAGTTGCTCAGGATTTATGTATGTTCGTGAGTTTTAGATCATTTGTAATTCCATAAAATGTGGTTGAAGTGTTGTGTCATCTAAATAACTTATTTTTAAATTATAATTAATATATATTTTCAAATAAATTTTCGTATTAATTAAATTATTACTTTACCTCATTTAAAAAATCTTCATTTATATCTACAATAAAACAAACTTTTTTAATGCCACTTTCGTTTGACCACTTCTTTCCCAATGCTGATATTTAATATCCCAATCCATAATACATCTACCTACCCACATAATAAATAGCACCTTAACTACTTTTTGCTATTTGTTTAATATTTTTAAATCTATAATATGGTATCCATTCTTTACTTTATAAAAATCAGCATTCAGTTGAGTATCTTGAATAAATCTATCCAATTTTAAAAATCATTTTTGAAATGTATTGAGTTTCACGGTTCGCACCAATAATCATCATACTTTTTCATATTTTTCATTATATTCTTTAGTCATTTTCTGTTCGTTTATAATATGCAAGGTAGAATTTTTTTTTTAAATAAAATATTTAATACGGAATTATCGTTTCAGAATTGATATATTGTAGAATTGAGTTACCAGAATAATAAATTACAGATTTAAATGGTATAAAGGGTAATTAACTATGCCTTAATTATATTTGTCCAATCGGAATTATTATTCTGCATAAATTACTATCTGATATTTCCTTTCTAAGGAAAAGAATGGAACATTTCCTATTTAGGAGAATACGTAAAATGCTAGTAATTATCGTGTTATGACAAAATACCCTTATTATTTAATTGCTCTATAATTAATAAGCAAAGTGCTAATAAATAAATTATAAATTATATATCTCTAAATTATCATCATCATCATCGCCTAATTAAAAAATAAAATCAAAATAAATCAAATTAAATATAAATAATAATTATGAAATGAAAATAAAATGGAATAGAATTGATACTTATCTGATAAAATTATTCGGTTAATTCTTCAAGTTTTTTTCAAAAATTTTTTCATTTTAGGTTTTGGAAGATTTGAAAATTAAGTCTACCGATATAAATTGATTGCAGTTGTGCTTTATAATTCATTGGAGTCGTATCAGTTGTTGCTTCTTGAAAAATTTTCAGCTTCTCTAATCTGCATTTCTTTATTATTGTTTCCGTATTTATCATATTCCGCTCACATAGTATTTATAAACTTTTTCTTTAATTCTTCAAAAGTACATGCGACACATCGTGATACGTGGGAATTCCTGTGATCATTTCCCTCCAGTATTGGTATTTATCGGATTAGGGTGTTTATTAGGAATTAGGTTTATATATGACTTTTAATTTTCCATGGAATCGATCCTATATTAGCAAATATTTAATCATTAATTAATTAATTTATTATTCTTAGTATATATATCTTAGGTTTGAATTTCAGATAAATAAGATAGATTCTTTTGCATTTATTATACTCTTACCTGATTTCTTGATGGATTCACAACGATCTATGTCTCCCTAGTGTATCTTTGGGATAAAATATTAGCATTCCGGTATTTGGAAGATTATCTTATTTTTCATTAATTATACATCAAAAATAAAATAAACTCTCACGAAAAATATTGGTTTTCAAATTCTTTGTTCAATCTACATATCCATCAACCAGGTCAATTGTTTCTATCCAGTAATATAATGTATTAAACACTTGCATGATGAGAGCAAAGTCCATTTCTTAATTGTCATGTCTCACGTCACGATGTAGCATGTCGCGACCATGGATGTGAACCTGTGACGTGCGAAAAGCTGTGTGAAAGTAAACGAAAATTTTTTATTTAATATTCTTTTTGACTATTTTTAAAACTTCATGAATTATAAATTTCAAAGTAAAAATGATATATTTTTTTTATTTGCATGTGTATTAGTTCTCGCAAAATAGGATATTCACCTTTTCTCTATTATTAATTATTCTTTCTTCTGCAGCTTTAACGTAAAGACATTGAATAACAAGTAATCCGGGACCCTGTTGATGACTTAAGTTTATTTTCTTCTTCTATTTTCCTTTCTTTAGACAACTGAGTCAATGCATTTACCATTTACTATTTTTGTTGATGACATATGTTCAATTTTATAAACAATATCAGACAGAAAAAAATACTACGAAATATTCTTTCAATCTTTCAGTGATACATTTTCCCGAACCACCTTTTCCAAGTTTTTGATTGCAAGAGTCCTGTCAAAAGAGAAAAAAAAAACTTAGCGCGTAATATATGCAATTATTTTTAGTTAAACTATATATTATATATGCTATAAAATTCAATAATACCTACAGAATATGTCTCTTTTGTTGAAATGGGTTGGATATCATCTTTGTTTTTTTAATTGTTTTTATTAACAATTATTCAGTCAATATTTTATAAATATAGCAACTAAAGTTATATAATTTACGTGACATTAATTACGACACATATTACATTTTTATTTACATGACACATCTACGTCTATGAAGTGCGTGATTTGTAGATTAATACATATTTGCTTTTTTTTTTTTGAATTTGTTTAACAAAAGTCCGTTGAGATAAATGGAAGATTCTAAATTTCTTTGTTGAATTTTTGGGTTACAATAATGTTTTCACAAAGAATTTGCCATAATTAAAATATACAATAAACCCTTTATATGTAAATAATTAAATAATTTGAGTTTAAAACTGTAACTGGAGTTGGTCGTATCAAACTTCATTGTGATAATGGCTTTTTAATCATTTTTAGCGATATATTATGCAATTAAATATTTTAAAGTTACGCGTTTAAGCTTGTGGAATAAATAATACCTATAGTATGCAATTAGTCAAGTTCCAGATCACCTTCTTTACCTAATACAGCTTTTCTCACCTTCTTTACCTAATACAGCTTTGCCTAAATCTTCTGGCAAAAAGATTTAAAATTGAATTATAACTCTCTTATTAATAAACTTCCTTAAACTATTTTTGTAATCTAAATTTAAATTTTGGTAGATTAATTTTATCAATTCCTATAAGTAGCCTAAATAAATAAACAATACATACAATAATAACCCAAATAAACAATACAATTAGTGGCAACATATAAACAAGTTTATGCTTGTGTCATCTTGCGCATCATTTCCAAAAAATCAGCCATTGTTTATGAAAGAAGATTATTTACGTGGATTGTATAACCCATTCATCACTAATTGAGAAATAAATTTCCAAATTAAGTCTTTCTTTCAAAATATGATAAATATTTTTTTTTCATTTATTTATATGCACAAGGAGCAGAGTTAAATCGTCAACGACTCAATTTCGCCAAAGTAGACTACATAGAATGACACTTTTATTTCAAATTCGATTAGAACAAGATAGTTTAATTTTGAGAGGGTCACCTACGGAATCTGTGGGTTGTGTTCTACGCGGACAACTCGTGTTAGTAATTACAGAAACTATCAAATCCAAAGAAATTAAATTGACATTTCTGGGAAAGTCAAAAACTGCGTGGGATAGTGGTAAATGTTTGAATATTTTAATTTGTGTACTTCTTACACTGTTTATTACTATAATACTCAATTACTGTATATATTTTTTTTATCTTTTACTTAGGTAATGTTAGAGAAACCAGCGAAAAGAGAATATTGTATAAACATGATTGGGTTTTCCTTGCTGCGCAAGAGAAATATCATATTCTTCAACCGGGCAATTATAGCTGGAATTTTGAATTAGCCCTTCCCGGAACATTAATAGAAACGATTGAACAATGTAATAGAAGTTACGTTCGTTATAACCTTAAAGCTACCTTAAAAAGACCAATTTTCGCACAAAATCTTCGTACTAAACGTAAAGTCCAAATCAATAGATGTTTGATGTCTAATTATTTTAATTCACTGCAAAGTGTTGTTCTTCTTAATTCATGGAAGAATAAAATTGAATATGAATTTTCAATTGGAAGAGGATATTTCTGCCTTGATGATAAAATTCCAGTAGAACTTATTATAAAACCTTTAATAAGCGGAATAATTATTCGTCGATTTAATTTGATTTTCGAAGAGCACAGAACCTATAACATAGGACACAAAACCATGAAAGAAGTAGAAATAATCGATATAAAGAGAGATTCGTCATTAATTCCTTTTGTTGGTGAAACTTGGATTATAAATGAAGAAATGTCAATTCCAAAGTCTCGGTGTTTAGCAGATTCTGAAAATAACCAAATTAGTATCGAACATAAATTAGGATTTAATGTTACTGTTACATTTCAAATTGAAGATAAAGATTTTTATAAACTTACAGTAAGTTTACCTGTCGTAATTACTTCATACCCAAGTCCAGTTGGTACTACTATTTTTGATACACTTCCTACCTACAATAGTTGTTATTTTGACAGAGAAATTAACGAAGATTTGTCATCTTCATTACCTTCTGATAGTAATAATATAAGTTCCAGAGACAATAATTTACATAATAATTTATCATCCAGTAATAATAATAATTTATCATCCGGTAATAATAATTTATCATCCTGTAATAATAATAATTTACCTTCATACGATAGCACAATAACCTCAATTTCTTTACCAATTAATGATTCTATTTTACCACCAGCTTATGGGACCATTTAATATATTGTAACGTAAAATAAATATGAATTAAATGCATACGCATTAACAAAATAAAGTGGTTTTAATTTTTCGTTCTAAAAAAATTTTTTTGTGGTTGTACATATTTTTTCTTTGCAATAAATATAAATGAGATATATATATATATATCAGAATAAAACCAGCCAAAATTAGGGTTAGGGTTGGCAGAATTTAGAAGAAACTACATTATTTTTATAATTCTGGTCAATCTGCGGCTTCTGAGGTGATTTTTGAGTAAGAATCACAGAAAAATTCTTTGCGACTTGGCGAATTTATTCGACTAATACTAATGACTTTGCATATTTAATATACTTTCGTAATCATGCACAACATGCCCAGACCTTTAATAATTTTTTTCCAGAAAACTCTGCGTCAAATTATCTTATCAACATCTAACTTGCATTTTGATTACATCAATTTTGTGCAAAAATTTTAAAAAAAAAGTTACTGTACGCGGAAAAAAAGACTGATTTATTTCGTGATATTATAGAATTACTTCACGACACGATGAGAAAATTATACACTATAGTGGCAATATTCTCGTTATCACGAATAATTTTGAAACTGTTATTCCTGATTTAGTCAACGAGTAATTGTTAATTCGGAAAAGAAACCTTGAATGTATAGAGTAATTCCTTATACTGCACATTTGTATCAGACATCTGTAGTTTAGGAATGGAATTAACAACGGTCATAAGACATTTCATGAACCAATTCTTATATTAGATATTTTAGACGGAAAAACCAGATTGTTGAGAAATTTAATATGATTTTTGGTTAGAATTTAAAAAGGTGGATAAAAAGATGTAAATATGTTAATGCATTATTTGAAATCAAGAATAGCTGGTTCCAATCAAATAAATATTGAAATTCCGAAATTGAATGATCAGATAATTAACATACCAATGATTAAAATTACATTATCTCAATAGATCAATTATCAAATGATATTATGGATAGCTAGTAAGAAATCATATAATATTTATTAATTTTAAATTGATTTATTAACTATTATAATATTAAATTCAGTCGAAGAAATTATAAAAACTCAATTTTTACATTTTTTTTATATTTTACCTTTTCACATCTTATTATACGTTTTATTATCGAATTTATATCATCTCTTTGGTGATATAGATAAAAAATTATATGAAAATATACCTTTGAAGTAAAATAAATTTTTCTTTATTAAGAACTATTTCGTGTCTCATATATATTTCTCAACATTGATCATTGTAATTTCTTTGACTAAATGTTTATGTACTGTATATTTGATATAATTTTCATTGTTATAAAGTCAGTCTTATTATTATAACAATCGATATATTTATAAATAATTAAAAATAACGAATATATCTCAAAAATTAAGTGGATATCACGGTGATGATTATGATATATCTCTTAGGTAACACAACGATTAGGTTAATCGCTTATAGCCAGTCTTATTTAAATGTATGATTATATCTTCATCAATTGTAAATTTTTTCCGAAAAATCGGATTTATTTATATATCAGTAAAGTTTAATACGGATGACTCCGTTGAATAGAAAAAAAAATATATCTGATTTATCTTAATGCTCATGATAATTTTTGATGATTAAAAAAGAGCGTCACATTGTTAAGTTAATAGTATAAATGAATAATCTACATTATAATAGATAATCTTTTTTTTATTTTTTACATTGTTAATTTTTTTATCATGATATTATATCTTCTATATGATGTAGATTTGGTATGTTCGAATGCAATCATGATACGTATCTTGCTCTTCGCCTTTAACATCCCTTATCAACCCTGAGATTGTTTTAGCTGGTTCGTCAGTGTAAGGGGAGACTAAAAGTTCTTCTTTAGATAATCAAGAAATTCACGACCGGCAACCTCTTGGTCTTCGATAACTTTGATGCGTTTATCTAACTCGTCTTTTTTAGACTGAAATGCGTAGGTATATTATCTCACTTCCATTATTTTAGTTTTAGACTGCAGGAAAAGGAGTATCAACATGGCTATTTATATATTATATATATTGCTTGAGAAGAGACGTTTGTTATGTTTGGATTACCATATTATATATCATCATATTGTAATCCGATAATCTGGAGCCGATAGCAGTTTAGTTAAATAATGATGGCTCTTCCATTAATCATGCACTCAAAGGTTTCAAAATATACTATAGCACCTGTCAAAATTGTAGAAAAAATTATATTGACATTACCGATGAGCTTTAATCAAACCTTATTTTAATATATTTAATTTCCAGCTAAATATAAAGATATCTTGTTGATGACACGATTTTTTTTTTTGTTAGAAATTGATCTTTTGATAATGAATTTGTACCTTTTAGATCTTGTATTACCCAGAACAAAAATAATCTAGCAATGCAAATATAACTAAAAGGATATCGGGTGTATTTGGTGATATTTAATTGTGTCAGTTCTCCAATAACATTTTATATATGCAGTAACTCGCAACGCGGGAGACTCATCTGTGCATGCCTTCCCCGTCGATATTGACAAGAACTGACTTGTTGAACATCTAAAGAAAATTGCCAAAGCGAGAAGTTAGATGCGAAAGACATCAAGTTATGGAAGGGTAAAAATTCCATTCCTGACGATCTCATAATTGACAAGACCGTGACAATAGTTAATGAAGAGGATGTTCATGACGCTTTAACAATAATATTTGTATGGTATTAAGTTTTAAGAGATATTGGCAAACGAACATTTCACTTTTGTAAATCTGTGAGAAATTTATAATTACAGTATATGGTATATGTAACATCAATACGATGTCCTCTCCATTTATGAAGATCACTAGTTTCTGCACCGACTCTATCAAAGCTTTGAATTTCTGGTGGATTTGTAAACAAATAATAAAACAACAAAATTAATCACTTTAAATTGGTTTAATAAGTTCAAAACTGGTGTTTTTAATTATCAAAAATTCGAAAATAAATAAAAAATATAAACTAAATTAATCAAATTTTCTACATAGAATAAAAATTGTTGAAATTAAATGATTTTAATAAATTGACAAGTGGAATAACACATTGCTAATGTCAATTTTCATTGTTATAACTATGGATTTCTATAATCATATATTTAAACTTTTCATTTTACAAATATTTAATACAGAAAATGGGTCTCAAATCCAAATACTTCAGGTAAATATTTCACAAAATAATATTCTTGACATGTAATCTCTTTTATTCAGAGATATTGATAAGTGATTACAATAGTTAAACAAATAAAAAAATTTTAATATTTGTGTTTATTTTTACCTGTTTTAGACAAATCATCGCTTGTGCCAAGATTTTCAAAATTCTTGTTCAATCTGTATATCCATCAGTCAGGTCAATTTCTATCCAGTAATGTAATGTATTAACACTTGGAGTACAAGTATGATGAGAGCAAAGTCCATTTCTTAATTATCATGTCTCACGTCACGATGTAGCATGTCGCAACCATAGATGTGAACATGTGACATCCGAAGAAAGTGCGAAGAACGTGCGACGTGCTGTGTGAAAGTAAACGAAAAAAATTTTAATTATTATTTCTTTTTCAATATTTTAAACATCAGGAATATAAATTTCAAAGTAAAAATGATATACATTTTATTCTTTTCTCTTGAAGGTGAATTTAGTTCTCTCAAAGTAGGATATTCACCTTTTCTCTATTATTAATTATTCTTTCTTCTGCAGCTTTAACGTAAAGACAGGGACAACTGAGTCAATGCATTTACCATTTACTATTTTTGTTGATGATATATGTTCAGTTTTATAAATATTATCAGCCAGAATAAAAATACTACGAAATATTCTTTTAATCTTTAACGATATATTTCCTGAATCACTTTTTCCAAGTTTTTGATTCAAAAGAGAAAAAAAACTTAGCGCGTAATTATTTTTAGTTATATATTATATATGTTAAAAAATTAAATAAAACCTACAGAATCTGTTTCTTTTGTTGAAATAGGTTGGATATCTTCTTTGTTTTCATTAATTGTATCATATTTTATTAACAATTATTTAGTCAATTATTTATAAATATAGCGAATAAAGTTATATAGTTTACGTGACATTAACTACGACACACATACTACATTCTTCATTTACATGACACATCTACGTCTATGAAGTGCGTGACGTGTAGTCACTCTAATTAATACGTATTAACTTTTTTTTTTTGAATTTGGTTAACAAATGTCAATTGAGATAAATGGAAGATTCTAAATTCTCTGTTGAATTTTTGGGTTATAATAATGTTGTCACAAAGAAATTACCATAATCAAAATATACAATAAACCCTTTTTATGTAAATAATTAAAATAATTTGAGTTTAAAACTGTACCTGGGGTTGGTCGTATCAAACTTCATTGTAATAATGGCTTTTTATCTTTCATTCTTAGCGATATGTTATGCAATTAAATATTTTAAAGTTACGCGTTTAAGCTTGTGGAATAAATAATACCTATAGTATGCAATCAGTCAAGTTTCGGATCACCTTCTTTACCTAATACAGCTTTGCCTAAATCTTATGACAAAAAGATTTAAAATTGAATTATAAACTCTCTTATTAATAAACTTCCTTAAATTATTTTTGTAATCTAAATTTAAATTTTGGTAGATTAATTTTATCAATTCTAATAATATAAGTAGCCTAAATAAATACAATACAAACAATGATAACCCAAATAAACAATACAATTAGTGGTAACATATAAACAAGTTCATGCTTGTGTCATTTTGCGCATCATTTCCAAAAAATCAGCCCTTTCTTTCATTGTTTATGAAAGAACATGGATTGTATAACCCATTCATCACTAATAGAGAAATAAATTTCCAAATTAAGTCTTTCTTTCAAAATATGATAAATATTTTTTATAATTTATTTATATGCACAAAGAGCAGAGTTAAATCGTCAACGACTCAATTTCGCCAAAGTAAACCACATAGAATGACACTTTTATTTCAAATTCGATTAGAA